CACGGACACTGGTTTGTCTTAAATGCGGGTCTCAGCGCATTAACAAGTTTACACCTGCCCTATATGAACTGCATTCACAAAGACAGAATAACAAGCCGAGACTACTTAGAAACAAGTAAATATGATGTCAATCACTGGAAAAGCTTCTTTTATAGTCTAATTGGGAAACTGTTCCATCTACCCTGCCTAAGAGGTGCAAGCAATTTGGGAGAGTATCCAACTTGTATATTAGCCATTATCTTACAATTTAGAGGAAATAGTCAAGAACATATAGGGGAGACATGAATCCAAATGAAAACCTCCCACAGAAAACAAGTGCGTGGGACAAAGGAAATCTGCATTCCAGTCATAGCAAAGAAATTCATGAAGAGACCCAAATGGAAGCCTCGTTTAAGGACTGGGCTGCAGCTGTAGGAACTATGCAAACTCTGTTAAAATAAACCAGTAACTCTGTTTATCTATTTGTGTATATGTATCCCTCAATAGAGGCTCTGACTAGAGTCCAAAAGAGAGTGAAACAGCTTCAGTATTTGGTTTTTCCTTTACATTCACCAACCAGCAGCAGCTTTTCCCGTAAGCCGCACAGGATATTTCAAGGCCTGTTATGCAGAATGTTGGTTTGGGGAAAAGAAACATTCCTCTGATGCACATTACCATATTCTTGGCATGAAGGTGGTTAGAGTGGGCTTCTCTCTCAGAGGTCTGAAGTAAGCCACAAATGTCAACTGTAAAACTGGGAATTACTAAAACCCTCTCCTCTTTGCAGGACATCTTATCTTTAATCAAAGGAAAAGCCTGGGAGGTCAAGAAACCACTTTTTTTTTTAATAACTTTTTAAAAGACTCTAACCTGTTGTAAGCTGCTATTGTCCACAAAAAGCACAAAACATAAAATATTGAAAGCCCCACTGTAATAATTCCTGGACTGACAGCAGATGCAAGGGGTGGGGGGGGAGAGACAGGCACAAGCTTAAGCTTCCTTCAAGATTATGAATATACAAGCTAAAACACATTTGTCTTCACTCTCAAAATGTCCCCTCCGCCTCCTTGATGTAAGGACAGGAAATCCCCAACTGAGGCATTATCTAGAACAGAATTTAGGTAACAGAACACCTAGAGAAACTGTCAAAGTTACTAAAGTTTCCCACAGACCACAGCAGAATATTCCACTGGAGTCCCAAATACAGTACTTTATAGACCCCAAATTCGATGGAAAATGAAGTGAGGCTGATTTTGCAATGAGAATTGTTTCAAAAATTATCTCAAACTGGTTAATTTGTCACTGTCCATCAGGCAAGTGAAAAAAAAAATGAACAATTTTCTCTTAAACACCTTTAGTTACAAACTAACACATCCATTTTAAGCTTTTACGCCTTCCCTTTTATGAGCAGGGCGATGATAAACACACAGAGCTGCACAGATGCAAATTCCCAAGAGCCAACTTGCTCCAGCCATTACATTTTGGCTCCCTCTGCTGGAATGTAACAGAATCAAGTGACACTATTTCTGTCCAACTTTATTTGACACCTCAAATGCAGCAACGATTGCCAAAACACACAACCCCCCACCTACATATTGGGTATGAAGTCACACCACATAAAGTTGCCATTTTTAAGACAAACTTTTAAATTGGTACAGTATTTCTGGATCTGATGCTGCTTAACATTCCCAGGCTGCAGTTACTTTTTTGCTTGATCAGATTATTGTGGTGAAGTTCCTCAAAACAGGCAGGCACCTCTGACAGAATGGGAGTATAACTTATAATTTCAGTTGGCCTAGTTACACTAGTTATGATCCATCAGCTATGCTGTTCACGTACATAAAAACTGGTTGGTAACAGACTAAAAGACATGCTATTCTGTTCTAGAAAAGTTGCTGTTAGGAATCAGTAACTCCCCCAAGAGAAGGGCTCTATTCATTTCTATTGCTCATTTTCCCAAGCAAATGCTAAATGTAGGTCTTAGGTCATAAGAATTATATGGTGAACAATACTGGCCAATACTAAATAACTCATGAGGAAGTGTGAACTGGACAGGTTGATGCATAGTCAACTCTTAAGCTGAATTTGCAAGAAGTCTCTTCTATTCACTTCAAGGACACATAACCTTGTGAATGAAATTACAGATGGCTGCAAGCATGGCTATAACACACATAGCCAAACAAAAAGAAAGAAATCACCTGTAAAACCAAAGAATACACCATGTTAGGATGTATAAAACCATAGCTGAAAATAGGCCTTTCAAAATGAGAGTTCCCTTAGGTATTACACTGTTCTTCGGTCAGCATGTTAAGTGTTTTACCACTTCTAGCTCACAGCTCAAATTCAAAGGTCTGCAGATGAACTATATTTAACTCTTCTACTTGCACAGAAACTGCATGAACACCTCCAGACAGCTGTCTTTGCTATCACTGTATATTTGCTAGTCGTCCTCGGTTCTTTTAAGAAATACAGACAAAGCATGGGTTTACTGAAAGGTGCAATTATTGTTTCATTGCTAGGAAAGAAAATTATTAAGGTATTGGTTGTGTTTTTCACCACTGCCAGCATTCTCTAAAAGAACCACTCCCAGAACGTGCAATCTGTGTCTAGTTGTTTACAGCTATTTTGGACTCTATAATTCTGTAACATAATTAAGGCCAGTTTCTCCTCCTGGACTTGCATCTTCACTGTTTTGCATTTATGAAGTGATGCTGAATTTCAACCAGTATTAGGAAGCCACTCTGCAACTTCCCTGAGTTACCAAAGCATGCAAGATCACTGCATTTGCAAATTCTACTGCTACTCCTTCTGATGTAAAGCAGAAAGTTCTGGCGGGGCAAAGTTCAGTGAAAAAGCAAGCCTGGTGAGCACGGGAAGCATCTCAGCAGGGAGACCCAGGTTGGACTGAATAGCTCCTAACAGTTACAGGAGTTCAAAAAAACTGCTGCTGCTGAAGGCCTGTGAGCTCAGGCCAGAGGATGTGAATAACTTCCAGCAGCAGCCTCCTGCTATCTGTACTCAACCTCTGAGTTACAGCACCTGTGTCCCACGTACTCCCAAGAGCAGATCAAATAGCCTCTTACTCGCTTCAGTCTTCACTTAAACAGTTCGCAAATAGACAGAGGGATGTTCATCTGTGTGACAGATTATTGTCAAAGACAAGGCACCAGCTGCATGTTCCTTCCTTGCAGTCTTCCATACAGATGCCTCTGCTAGTGGCTTTCAGACCACATCCAGCTGTGACATGCATGTACTGTCATACTCGCACTGGAGGGACTTAGATTTTAAAGTTTCCCGGCTAAGATTTACCATTAATCAATCTATACCACTGTTTTAAAGCAAAAATTATTAGGACTCTTCCTTTCCTTTTCCCCAGTTTGGTGCCAGTAACTAGGGTGCAGCTTACTTTCAGGTGAAGGTCAAGCAAAAGACAGACTCCAGGAGCACACTGCACCTGCTCCAGCTGCTCTGAAGAGCTCAGTCCACAGGACCAGAGCAGAGCTGAAGTGATCTCTTAGCCATACATCCATGTTCCTCAATGGACACTGTAGACACCAAACTCTTAATACCAATTGTTTTCTCTAAATATCTGCTGCTCTTGTGCCACACTCCTAATTAATATAGATATAAGTCAAGGTAACTAGGACAGAGATGAGACTATATTGAGGCTAGTCAAAAGGATAAGGCACATTCAAAAGCCTTTAAACACCCATCTTAATCGTCAACAATTAATGTCCACAGATGTTCTTATCTGAGCTTCACAAGGCCTCTCTCTAAATCCAAGCCCCAAACGTCTCTCACAGGCCAGACACCTCCAAATTCTAACATCCCATCCTCTACTGGGACGCACACACCTTTAAAAAAAGATGAAGTTTTATGTCCAAGAAACACTTTGGGGGAAAACTTAACCTGTTGATGTTCTCTTTGTGAGGATTACAAAGGTTCTCTGGCAGACTGAAGAACCACAACCATTTCAGATGCACTAGCACAAGTCAGATCGTGTGAGATCCCACATACCTGCCTTCAAGACGCATACACCTGTGGGTCCCGAGCCTCCAGCTTGGAAGAGTAATATTCTTTACCAGAGAAGCAAATGTAATAAAATGTTCATGCACTTTGGAAGATGGCGAGTTTGAGACCTTCTTCCAAAGTCCCCACAGAAGTACTTAATCTATAAAGCACAAAATTGTGTATAAAGAGTTTGAGAAGTTCCAAGTACTACGGTGACTTACTCGAAGTAGCAACTACTTATTTTCTATAGCACTTAGGTGAACACAGTACACCAAAAAATCTACCAAAATCTGCTTTTTGAGTAATCAAACACTGAGGCCACACGAATCTTTTAAAGCACTTAATGCTTTGCAAATTACAATATTCTAAACCTGCCTCTGCGTGTTTGTGCCTTTAACATAGGCCTGCTTTGCCAGAGACTACTTCAGCCTCACTCCATCTGCTGGACAGAATTGGAGTTAGATAGGCATGATCTAAACTGTTGTAGTCCTTCACCAATTTAGGCAGACGACCTTACATTATTCAGTTTTAAGCACTGACTTCTGAAATAAGTTCTTATCCTGTTTTGTCTCAAAAACTCTCCCTCAAAGTCATCTGGATACTATAAAATTCAGAAGCAGATGCAAAATACTTAAAATTCAGACTCTGCTTAAACACAAAAAGCTTTGACACTAATAAGAATCTCTAAACCAGGCTCCAGAGACCTAGAGATTATTCAGTTCCAAACCAACTAACCTACACTAGAGAGGGTGCTGTAGAATAACAAAGTCAAATTTATTTCAGCAGTGCTCAGAAGCATGCAAGGTGCTTCACAGAAGCAATGGTAATTTCAAAACATATCAGAAGTATAATATAAGCTAGAAAAAAAGGGGGAAAAAGGCTAGGAAAGAAAAAGTGACTCTATATGAAGAGCAAGATATTATGACTATCACCATGAGACAAGACAATGTAGCAGAGACGTTTTCAATGTCAGAAACGGTCAAAAATAATTTATACTTTTAAAAGCTTACCTTAGTTGAGAGCACTTTAAATGTACTTTGCTCTGGCACTATAGAATGAAGAAGAACAAGCTTTAAGTTGTAGTCTTCACCTGATGGAAGTCTCACTGATGCACTCATCTGTTAACAGTCAAAAACACGTCTCTGGTCACCCGAGAGAGCAGTTTTTCATTCTGAGGTAAAGCACTGCAGTTTGGCACCAAGATTAAGTGATTAAATTAATGACCCTTCACTAGGACGCTTTTGAAATCAAGCATTAGACATCAGAGAATTTAAAATGAAACCACTATTTCCTGCATTATTCAACAAGGTGTTTCTAAAGTACACTGCAAAATGGAGATTTCAGTTCTTAGCCAGCAAGTACTCAAAAAGCCTATTATCTTGTCAGCTTGATATGCATTCTTTAGAGAAAGATTTCTAAAGCAAATAAAGTGTCAACATATTAATAATGGAATATGAAAACAATTTGCAACTTCCTTTTTAATACCTGCAAATGATGTGGCAAGTGTTCACATAATTTTAACAACTTAAAGTAGACAGAATTATAGAAGTATTTGGCTGTTGCTAAGTACCAATTTAGCTGACAATAAGAACCCAGGTCCTCAACATTCCTAGGTAAATTAAACATGAGCATCACTAGTACTGTATATGGTATTACAGTAAAGAGATTACAGTCCTCCTCTGAAATATACACTGGGTGCCGTTACCAATTTAGTGACACTAGAATGAAGAAAAACACACACGACAACATTAATTCTTCTTGTATAATTATCCTAAAGCAAGATACATTATTTATGTATACCTGCTCTTCAAAAAGCCTTGTTTCTGTTCATTCATACTCTGGGTACACATACACTCAAACATTTTTAAGCTCAGTTGACTTCCTCCCGTAAACCCTAAAGAGGCAGCTGAAAAAACAGATGCTCCTTTTGCAGCAGGCACACCAGAACTTATATTTAAGATACAGCTTGTGCATATCCTATGGATCCTGCTATGGCAACACTCATACAAATACTCAGATGGAAAATCACTTGTAGTATTTTCTCTTGACATTCCAATAAAGAGACAGCCCAGTGTTCTAATAACTGCATCTTGTGGAATCTGTGGGTACACATCAATGAATCAACCCAAATCACCTCTTTTTCTGAGAACTGTACATGGACAGCATCCTTCTGTGCATTCTTGATCATGATAGTCACAATCACTTGGGATTCTGTTTGGTACCAGTCATACCTTAAAGAGAGGAAAAAGCTGACTGCAAGAAGATATAAATACATACACACACACACACACACACACACACACACATCAGAAGCCAGAATATTACACTGTGCAATTTAGAGAGGAAAGACAATATACAAAATTAGATTTCTTCCCATTCCTCTAACAAAACACTTGCAGACTTGATGAAGAAAGTTTTTTTTTTTTTAAGAAAAAAATATTTTCTTTTAAGAAAAAAAAGAAGCATATCACAAGTAGGTTATTTTCTAATCCAATTCACATTTTTTTTGCCTTCTATAAAGAAGAATAAGCACCTTTTTAGTTAAAGATCTTAAAAGCATCTTGCCCATATACGTATAGGTAATGTTTCAAGTCTTTGAATTAAGCATGAGAATTAGAAACAGAAATGAGAATGTTTATTCCACTCCCTACTTTCCCAGTGGAGAATTCTCTTGAAGGTACAAACGAATCTGAATGAAGTGACTTTGTTTAAGAAACATTTCACATAACTGCAGTGACTTTTTTCTTTTTTTGTGATTTCAGGAAGTGGCGGTCTCCTATCTTGCCTCTCCAATGTCTAAGTCAGGAAAGAGGAGTTACATACATTATCTTAATTCTCACAACAGAGCTGAAGTCAACTTACTTGATCTTTGATGGCAGAGGTTGCTGCTGTATATTCTAGTTGAAAGAGAAATCACATCACCGTAAGTGGAAAAATATAGCAAAATATATTTCAAAGATACAGAATATTTTCATATTGCCTGCTAGCTTTTCCTTGATTTTCAAGTGCATTAACTTACAAATTCAAGTTTATCACTATTCTCCTAGCCATTTATTCCTGATGAGAATAAAAAGTACCAACAAATCACAGAACACGATGTAATTCACAATATGCAAGTCTAATATTTTGTAATTGCCAGGATTCAGCTTCAACTCATCTTCTTCCTAGGCAAGATGTATACCTGAGACACAGTAGCTACTGCTTTGTCCAGGAGTTACAAAAGAAACTTGTGACAGATTTGAGAGATTTTTAACATAAAAACCTTTTAATTCTACTATTTGTCTTTGCCTATCCTATCACTTCTTCTGTTCAGCTCCCCTTTTTAAGATTTAAAATTGGAATTCTGAGGAGAATTCTCAAAATAAATTTCCCATTTAATCTAAAAAAAACCCACTCAGGTCAGTTCTGACACTCCTGAAGGTTTCAGGTAAGAAACGTGAAAGCTGAAACAGTTACAATAGAAAACATACTGTACATACTAC